TTTTGGACGTGAGGAATAATAAACATCCCTCTGAGGAAGGGCATGGTGAGGCTCTTGAAAGCCAACCTTGTGGGAGATGCCAGCAAATACTGTTGAATCTATGCAGTCTTGCACTCTTGAAAGGTTCTGGAATGAGGTGGGTAGTAGCTTTCAAAAATCAGGTAGCTTTGAAGGATGCTGTTTATTAGGATCCATTCAAACCCAAGTTTAAATCAGATTTAAGACCCAAAAGATCCTCTGTCATCCTGGTAGATGTGAGGAAAGGGATGGACAAGTTCAAATTTATTAATTCTTCAGGACCCTGCTATGGCTTTGGCTATCATTTCCTACAGTATTTTTCAAGATTGCTAGATTGTATGACTCTTGGGAGATTCTTTTACGGCCTTTGGCCTTTGGGTTGCTATGAAGTCCCATTTTGTCCTTTTATTATTTAACACTATCATGAAAGCACCATTAAAAAGTACTAATTGCATTGTCATTAACATGTGAAGAACATTTATCTCAATTCTATGTTTCACCTACAGATTCCAGAAGGATGAAGGAAGTTCTGAACAGATGATTGAAGGTAGAGAAGAAAAAAAAATGGCATCCTGAACTTTGGTCCTATGAGCAGCATTCTTAATGTCATGTAGCTGCTGTGTTTCTCCTCCTTCATATATAACATGGACTATTAGAAATAAAAATAGTCACATTTTCCTTTTTTCCTCCTTTTGTCTACATATGACATCCTCATATATACTGCACACTGATGATGTGCAAACTGATGTTTTTGGTTTTTTTTAAACACAGTGTTCCCCCAACATAAAGGAGCCAGCAGCATGGATAGCTCAAGATGTCAGGATTGGAACCTGCTAAATTTAATATTACAAGGAAGAACGTTATTAAAAATGTGGATTACTTTACTTTCTATCCAGAACACAGCCATATATAGTATAGTTCTAATTCTAGCATTCACTGAGGAATACATAGCTTTATGGTAGAATGCAATACATATCCAGTTATAAGTCAGTGGGACTTACAATTAAACTGGGTATAGTACTGTAATGTTTTCTGTTTAACTAATTTAAAGTGGAACATCTCAGAGTTTATAATACAAATTAATAAGAATAAATGTATATCAATATATAATTGACTATGACTGATACAACATAGTAATGTATCATGCAATTTAGTTACTTGTCAATTTTGTGGTAGAGAAGAAACCTGCTGCTTAAGTGAATCAGCTGTACTGTAATAAATGAACACCACGACAGGATAAGTGAGTTGCGTTCTTGTAATTCTGACAAATATGTAGAGCTTGACTGAGAAGGTGAAGAACTTACACCTTTTGAAAATAATATGAAACTGAATTCCCTTGTGATGCTGATTTGGGCTCAGTGACTAAAAAAATGTATACTTACTGCCATCAACAGTAGGGGGCAGGAGCAGAAATTAAAAAATGGCATGATGACTTGAGACTGTGTGATCAAAGCCCTGCCCCCTTTTTACATATGTTGACACTATGAGCACCTACAAAAGTGTGAGGCTTCAATTATCTGATATCTAGTCTTTTTGACTGCCATCTAGACTTTTTTTGATCCTTCTCTCCTACAGACACCACTGCTGATTGCACGAGGACTCATCTCAGTTTACCAACAATTATTGGCAGCCAACAAGAAGACAAATGAACTTCTCTTTCAAAAATATATGATAGGATTGCAGGAAGGAAATTCATAGGAGAAAGCACTGAAGTTTCAAAATAACAAGTACCATAAAATTGTCTGGCAAAGGAAGATTACAAATGCAGATGTAAAAGAGTCTGGGAAAGGAATTATAGAAGTCAATAGAAAATAAAGCAGTGATTTCTAATAAGCCTTGCTCACCTGCCAGTATGGTATCCCAACCATTTGGACTAAGTACACAAATTATTGAAGGCAGTAATTCACATATTCTGCAACCAGAGTTATGCTTCTGATTACTGTAAATGAGATGAATGGGAGTAGATGGCATAATAGACAAGTTATTACCCACCCACTTGCCCAACTACAATAGCAGGAATTTCATAGAGGCTTGAGAAACACTGAGGGACTCCCTAGTCGCACTGATTACAAGATAATTATTTTAACCTTCAAATGTACAATTCTGGCCTCATGCTTTTAAGAATGGAAAGCTTTCCAAGAAAATTTCAGATTATTCCTATATGGATTTTTAAAGATGATGGTATTGCCTGCCTACTGAAAGGCAGAGGCCAAACCCTGGCTGAGGGCTTGAACAGTGCCTGGAAAACAGCACAGTATCATAATATTGGCTGTCAATTAATGGTAAGACAAGGTACTTAGCCAAACTGAAGGTCAGGTCTAATTAAGCATGAATTCTCAGAACAAGGAAGGGAGACACAGCCAGATTGGAGAGGACAAAATATAGAAAAAGTTGAAACACAGGGCAAAGATATGGTCCAACCCTACAACGTTCCTCCCATCTGACTGAAAAAAGAAATGTTGCACATGCAGGAAATAGTAAAGACTACACTAGAAACAGATTCTACCTCTACTGCAGGGGTTCCTAAACTTCATGCCATCAAACCTCCCTTTAGTGTAATCTTAATGTACATACTTCCCCTAAAAATCCAAACACCCAAATGAACACATCACTCAAAACTAGTATTTTGGGAAAGGTGGATTGATTGTAACAATGTACAACTAAAAGATTCTTCAATCTCCCCCGGACTCTGTCTGTACTTCTGCAAGGAAGGTATATCTCACAGCTTGGGAAACCCTACTCTACTGAATCATTTGGATATCTAGTTCCCATAAATTGTGAAAGTGACTACTGGTTCATTAAATTATATGGCAGTGGTACAAGAGATTAAGGCCACCAGCCAATAAAAAGTGAAGGCAAAACTGAACTCAAAATCATGAAATAATGGATCCTGGATACTCCAACAGACACAAAGGTTACCCAATCTTTTGTTTCCTGATCTTCAGAGGTACATAGCAGCATTGGCACCATACCTCCAGCAATTAGAGCTTCGAAAATACAGAAGGGGCTTCATATTAATGCACCTTCCTGCTCTCCCCTCTGAAGTACTGGAACACAGATATTTTAACACCATATTTGGAGTGACTATGGTCCAAATAAAAAGCAAGACAAATTGAGATCATTGAGTCTCTCCTCCTACAGTGTTCATTTTACAGGGATATTCAAAGTGTTTTTATCTCCTCTATATTGTCAACATGGCTAGGCATTTCTGGTTCAATATACCTCTGAATATTATTACCATATTAAAATGTTTCAACAACACATAGTGGTTAATTTTAGCAAGGCAACCTACACAATCCACCAGGAACTGATCAAGGAAAAAAAACTAGTTATTCAGACACAGATCAAGTCTAGAATTGCAATCTAGACTTTTTGCTGTTTAATTTCAATGCCCTGGTATATCTTTTGATCTATTATATTCTAATACTTCTTTTTTTTTTAGTATTTTTTAACCCTATATTATTTTATAAATAACTCAAGGTGGTGAACATACCTAATACTCCTTCCTCCTCCTATTTTCCCCACAACAACCACCCTGTGAAGTGAGTTGGGCTGAGAGAGAGTGACTGGCCCAAAGTCACCCAGCCAGCTTTCTTTTTACACATTGACAAGCTATGAAGTAACATTAAACAGAGGCAGTAAATGTAGGTATTTGGTTACTGGTGCTTCTATCTGTGGTGTTCACGCCTGATAGATTCACATAATATATGACAGCTATGTGCATTGCATAGTTTATTTTCTTTATTTTCTATATTGACTTTCAAGTTGACATGTGACAAAAATATGTAGATCAGTGAATGGTATGAAAATGCCTGATGTAGAATTCCATCTTTGAAAGGTACTGGATGCAATTATCTACAGCATAACAAGCATGTTGCTGTGTTATATTCTGAGGAAATAAATGGCAAAAGTGCAACAAAAATAACAGGGGTTAGCTATGAAAGAATCCTAGGTGAGCAGATTCAACAATTTTGGTATTCCCAAAATGGAATGTGAAAATATTGCCTAAATTCATCCTACTGTATATAACTAGTTTGAATCCATTATTCTATATGTTGGTGCAGGAGGGAGGAGAGCGGGAGGGGGGAGAAGTTAATAGTTTGCACCACCTACTGGAGAGAGTGAATTATTGTTTCTTTATGACAGTCAAAATGAGAAATTTCTTTCAGGCTACAGCACTACATATACTTGACTGGAAATGTCATACTGCCAAATAGAACCAAATAATCTTCTCAGTTTTCTAGTTTACAAAACTTTATAATGATACCATGTAGTTATAAAACATATTAACATATTAAGCATTTATTCTTTTACTGTAAATCTAATCAAAACTGAGATTCAGAAATCAAGCAAAAATATATGTTTAACGATCTCCAACAAACATAACACCAATAATGTATTCTGCTGTCTATTTACTGCAAGATTAGGCAGTCTGATATGATGGATGGACTGTCAATCTCTGACTAAATAGCCACATTTCATCATAAAATCATGGTCATAAGATGTCAATAATCTTACATTACAAAGTACAAATGATATTTGGCAATGTGTTGGGTTTTTTGTGCAGTCCCATAAATATTTAATAAAAAACCAATAACTCCCAAATCTTACATTCCACATTTATCACTCTAGAATTGGAGAACATCAACATATACAAAACAACAAATGGAATCTGAAAATGGATAAAACTTATATCTATCCAAAAAAATGGAAAGGCATAGTATTCTATAGAAAAGCACTGAGCAATCTGTGAACAAATCTGAAGATTTAACTGTTGGAAAGATAATCAGCCAAGACACAACACAATGGCCAAGGATAAGGCAAATCTGCCTAAAGAGACTGCCACATATCTGCAGCTACCAAATTATGGATTCAGGTCAGTGGCTTTTATCTTGTTAAACAAAAACTTGTTAATACAAACAAGATTTAAAAAATGGGCATCTGATCCCCAGAAATGTTTTTATAAGTGAAACAAAACTTACTGTACACACGGAAGTCTTTGTGACTGTCAAAATGAAATCTGATGAAAATTCCAGTTCTGGAACTGAGATAACATGGCAGTCTATCCGCTGCAAGGTAATGCAAATATGAGTTTGAGAACCAAAGAAAAGAAAATCATATATGGAATTTAGAGAGGCTGATAACTATTTTAACGTATTCTGTGTTGCAGATTTTACATTAGAGTTCCCAGTCCTTCCAGATGAAACATTCCTATGGGACGAGTGCAAGATGCACAAAGGCACCATCAGGCATACGTAGGAATAAGTGCTAAAGGCCAAAGGCTCATCCAACTTGTATCAAAAGCACCTCTCTCAGCAAAATTAGCTATTTACCATATCTATATATAATTATATGTGTGAACCCAAGCCCAAAATACAGAATTTTGCTCTCAGTTTTGAGTTTAGGGCTATTAATTGCTTTTTTAATAGCTGTTCTCCAGCACTGCGTGGTAAATGACTTTTGAAAATATTTAAAGTTAAAAGTAGCTTGCAATGCGGAATTTTAAAAACACTCCATGCTGAGTAAGGATCAGAAGATACACTTTTTCCATTGCATTATTCATCACTCTGCATCTCAATAATATGTTGGATTTTTAACTTTTCCTAAAAAACAAAACAAAAAAAACCCATTTCCTTTATTCTAGCAAGTCTGGCTCAGGGTGTGGTGTCTAGAAGTTTGGCCTTCTCAGTGGTGGCACTCAATATAGCCCTTCCTCCTGAGGGAAGCTCAACTAGTCCCCTTTCCATTATGTTTTAAGCAACAACTGAACATATGACTGTCTACTCCAGTCTTTGCAGGGCAGCTATTACTCCAGGACCGGTCTTCTTTTCAAAAATGAAATTTCTTTTAAGTGCTGTACTTTGATTTTTGTTGCCTTGTTTTATGGCAGATTTTTAAAATTCATTTTTGTACACAGTTCTTGGTTTGGGAGGGAAAAAGGGTATAAAAATATATCTTTTAAATTTCAATGTATGTGAAAATGATAAGTATAAATGATTTAAGACAGAAGTGTATCGATGGAAATGGAGAGCTGATATGTCTTCTCTCATAAAGCATTCAGTGAGGATAAAAATTCTTCCACTGTAAAAAATAGAATATCCTTCCAACAACAAATAAAAATGGCCTAACCAAATGGAAATAATAATCCATTTTTCTACTTAGTATAAGCATAAAACAATGGTTATGGGATCCAGAGTAAATATTTACAATCTAATATATTGTGTACAAACATCTTAAGACTGAAACAAACTGCCAGAAGTTTGAAATCGATCCTTGAATATTTTCAAGAAGAGACTAATATTTATTACGTATCTACAGTGGAGCCAGAAGATCTAGCCTCCTCTTTCTAGCCCAGCAATTCTATTATACTCATTCAGTTTACAAATGATGTTCAGCAATTGTTCAGCCCATAAAATAGAAATATCCTTGAAAATGTACTCAGTTCAATCTTACGTATTAGCAGATTTTCACGAACCTAAATAGAGTATGACAAAGGCATTACTCATATTCACCCACATTTGACTGCTGAATGTATATTCTTCGACATTACATGATTAATAAAGTACATTTTTATAATTTCCTGGATATTTCAAAGTCACCAGTTCTACAAAGCTGCTATTAATCTTGGTTATTTACTCATAATGACCCTCTTGGTCAATTCCTTAGTTTTATTATATGTTACACAGGAAAATATGTTCAGAATGTAAAGATTATCTGATAGCTTTTATCCACCATGATTGCATTAGCATATCTTCTCAGTTTTAAAACTACAACTTGGCTTTTTTTTTTTTTGTACCTTCTAGCCAATGTTGACTAGAAAGACTGCCTGAACTAGTACCTGCATTTTTTAGCAAGATTTCAGAAGTGGTTTACCATTGCTTCCTTCGTAGGGCTGAGAGAGTGACTGGCCCAAGGTCCCCCAGTGGGCTTTGTGCTCAAGGCAATATTAGCATTCATAGTCTCCCGGTTTCTAACCTGATGCATTAACCTGGCTATAAAGCATGTAAAGGATAATGACAGAATCCATAATCATGCTAGGTATGCTTATCACTTATTGGAATCCTAAACTACAGGATCCCTATTTTTCCAGAGGAATAAGTTTGAAACAGTAAGGCTTTGGATTTTACACATTTGGAGAGTGCTATGAGATGAAATTCTATAACTACAATTTAAATCTGAAATGGAGTTCAGTGCATCCTATTTTGGTCAAGATGAGATAGTGCTGGCAGCAGACCAGCCTTTCTCAGCCTGGCCATCACCAGTTACATAGACTTCAATTCTGAGAGTAAAATTTCACACATCTAAAGAGAACCCAAGTTGAGAGGATGCTCTAAATTAAAAGCCAACCAGTTTCAGTGCATCAGATAATGTAATTTCACTGTGCAAAATACCATATAAACACCAATAACCTGTTTCTTTCTTCTTTACTGTAACAGGAGAACCAAGGGAAGGATCTTTTCTCCAAGCCATTTGTTAATCTTATTCAATATGCACATAATGAAAACATTCTCAAATGTTTTAGGAAGTAGTAGAATGTGAGTGATACTAGGTAAATATCCCAACAACTATTTGCAGAGAAAGCAATATACTCATAATATACTTTGTATTGCCACTTTTTAACCATGCAGACAATACCCACCAATGAATATCTGTTCAGGATAAATGGGAAAAACATTACATTTTTCTACAAATATTAAAAATAAATAATATTAATTAATACAGCTCCCGAACATATGATCTGCTAATCATGTCAAGAGAGTGAGTAAGGAAAAGAGAAAAGAACATAGAATTTGCAGGCTATGATGTCAAGATAGCTGTCTAAGTTATATAATAGATCTTGGGTGAAACTACTGCAAAAGAGCCTGAACATCTACAATCAATAGTTGTTGAATGGCAGATAACTCTTATACCTTCTCATTTTATTCTTGATTTTATTCTTTTTTCCCAAGAAGGGGGCTAGGAAGCAGAATAGAAATAGTCTAACAAAAGACTAAAAATCCATACTGGTAATTCCAAAACATAGCACCATGGACTTCATAATTCTATTGACCAAGAATTAAAAGCCAATATATTAATTTCCTATAATGACAGTTTTATATAAGGACCGTCCACAAAGAAAGTGAATGACATATTATTTTTTAGAAGATGCCATTATCTGTCACAGTACCTTGATGACATAAGCTTCAGATATTAGAGTCCTTGAATCTAAGATTTCCACAACTGCTTCAGGTATTATCACCTTTTTCATGCAGGACATATTGAAGCCATACACATCATCCCAGAAAGCCAACTGGTCAGTATGCTTAGCGATATCACTTATGGCTGCAAGGCTAATGGTACAGGAGTCAGGATACACTGCAATCAGATAAATTATTCAATAGTGAGGACTGTGTAGGGGCAAATTCTGTAAGAGAGAAGCCGAATTCTGTTAAACATGCTGAAGGAAAACAAAACATTTAAATGTAGCAATTCCACAGATGCATCTCTGAAATAAGATCCTCTAGGACTAAAATAAAAGTGTATTTCCATGAATGGAGTATAGAAAAGTTGTAATCACTGTAGAATGTTTTTCTTTTGCTGGCATGTGGAAGAGGAGGAGGAGAGCTTTGAGTCTATCTGTGTATAACAAAAGTCTACAATATAAAAGAGATAATACAAACAGTTTTGAACGGCTAAACTTTATTTTTCTAAGAAGTGTCTTCCTCATTCAACTTTTAATTTATTTTAATTTGATTCATATCCTTCCTACTCTATTTGAGCACTCAAGAGACCTCAAGAACAGGACAAACACAGAGTGCAAAAATGTGGCAGCCAGCTGAGCCAGGAATAGCAGAGGCATCTTCAAAAGGACCTCTTCTGCAGATCTTAAGGCCCATGCAGGTTTGTAAGAGGAGAGGAGGTATCTTAGATAGCAAGCCTTGAGCTCTTCCAGGATTTTTAAAGTTCATATCAATATATTGTCGAAGGCTTTCATGGCTGGCATACGATGGCTGGTGTGGGTCTTCCGGGCTGTGTGGCCGTGTTCTTGAAGTTCTGTTTCCTAACGTTTCGCCAGCACCTGTGACCGGC